TTAGCTTGGTGCTACATTTCTAGTGAACTCCGTCATGTATTATGAGGGGTATTCTATATGACAGACACAATCAAAGACATGGTGGTGACACCGTGCTCATTAGAGTCACATGCACTTCCCTTCAGTAAAACTCTAGGAATGTTCTCCCTTCCCCAGTGATGCATTGGGGAAAAAAAAAAGAACAATCCGAAAGGCCTCCTACCCCCATCTTCTTTGCTGAAAACAACACATTGGTTCTGTCCTACTCTGGTCCATTTGATTCTGTCCTATATAGGTTCATATATTATACTCCAGTAGTACCATAAGTAACCGTTGCTCTAATCCAGACTCTCAAGACTGATAAGCCATAGCTCCTTAAAAATGCAGCCGGGGGCAGGAGCAAATGGAATACTTTGCTAGAGGAGAAGGAAGAGGTTACCTTAACATGAGCTCTGCTGTCCTCGCTGATCTTTGTATCCCTAATCCATTTAAATCAAGACACTGACTGCTGCTGGCTGGGCAGTTAGGGCTGCCTTCTGCTAAATGAAGATTGGGAATCTGGAAGCTGTTGTCTAAATAAAGCAGTTAAACTTCAGTTGTGTGTGTTCTGCGTAGTGCACGTGCTTACTTTAATCACCCCGCTTGCCATTTTTATTTATTCATTCCAATTTGTGCATGCACATTTTTTTCCAATTTCTTTTTGCTCTAGATTTCCTCATTTTCATTCCATGTCTTTTTCTCCTAGGATAAACAAGCAATATGTTCATTTGGTTAAAACCTAAAGCTTTAATGTACATGAGACACCTATACCTAGCAAATGCAGTCTTCATGCAGATAACCATTTAAGTTGATAATCTGACAGCTCTGCAGTAAAAGAATAGAAAGCAGATGTATGCATTTAACAAGAACCGGTTATTTTTCTCAATTCAGGTAACCAATGAGCCTCCAAAAGGGCTTCGTGCAAACATCAGGCGAGCATTCACAGAGATGACAACTATGTTCTTTGAAGAAAATATCCTTGGCAAAAATTGGAGGAAAATGATTTTTGGCATTTGCTTCTTCCATGCTATCGTTCAGGTACATCTAATAGTCTTAGTTCAGATAACAGAGGTACTGAGATGCAGTTAAAAATTAGTTCAACAAGCCTGTTATACTCAGAATATGTCTGATGTAATCATAACAATATTTGGTGCAAAGTTTATTTAGTCATTAATTTCCAGAAACTGTAAGTTGTATTGCTAATGCAAAGCATCTCTCAACAGCTGTGCTAATTATAATTTAAAAGTCCATACGAAGCACAAGACTTCTTTTCTCCTAAAAGATTACATGTGGCCACAATAGTTATATCAAATGTAAATATTTCTGCGGGGATTTCCTATGGGTAAGTATTACCAAACATTTCATTTAAGGGACACTAATTGCTCTTTGCTGTGATAGCAAACAGTCCATCAGAAGAATTATGCATGGTTTAAATTAAATTAATTCATAGATTACAGAGGGATACATAGCGGTAAAAAGAAGGGATTGTGCTGCTTTAGTTATTCTGTTTTCCTCCTGGTTTTTGAAAGACTGCACAACACTTTGAAAACTGGGTAAGGACTTCATTAAAATAGATCTATGCAAGCTCTTCCATCCATTAGTGCAACAGCAGCTGTGGACCTTTGTTGACCGCTCCTGTAAACCTCATTTCACGAGGCATAAGGGAGTGGTTGACAAAGGCTTTCCTTGTCGACCGCGCCGCGTCTAGACTGCCGCGCTGTGCCGGATCAGCTGATGGAGAGATGGAGAGCTGTAAGATTAGAAGACAGGTCAAACTCTGAGACAGCCTTTGCCATCTGTAGCAGGGAGATTGATCTCCTAAGTGACTAAAAGCTAATACTTTACTTTTAATTGAACAGTAAAGAGTGGGGAATGATAGAACTAAAGCTCAGCTTACCCATTGCTGGGGGGGTTTGGAGTATGCCCATGGCATAAGCCACCTGGAAATTGTTACCCTCTCCTGTCCCATGAGCTAAAAGGAAAAAGTGACTTAAGGAGAATGTCCCTGAGGACTGGTGCTTTCAGAACCTACTTGTGGGGCACTCATCTTCTCTTTCTAAGGTCTGCGCTAAAATAACCCATTATCATTTCTCTTACAAATAGGTGACCTTGCTCTCTGGACGCAACCCCATGTTAACAGTACAATAGCTCTGAGCGCATGAACACAGTAATCTTACTCGGTTTTGCTTTTAATTTCATATGCAAGGAGAGGAAAAAGTTTGGACCTCTGGGGTGGAACATCTGCTACGAATTTAGTGACAGCGACAGAGAATGTGCCTTACTGAACCTAAATCTTTACTGTCAAGAAGGAAAGATACCCTGGGATGCCTTAACTTACATAACAGGTACAGGGTCAGATATTTTGTTGTAACAGCTCTGGTATTAACAAAACATGTAGATGGTATCATGAGCTTTCGTGGGCACAGCCCACTTCTTCAGATGACCGGAGTTACCAGATCATTTGTTGTTTTTTTTCTGTAACAGACTAACTAGGCTACCTCCTGAAGCTTCTGGTATTAATAATTCCCCTTCTCGCACTCCTCAGTTAACACAAAGTATCACTAAGCTATGGGCAACAATTCAGCAGGTCAAAGTTGATTATTTGGACAGATCGATATTATGCCTTTACTTATAACCATGGAACCTACTGAAGTCAATACAGTTACAGGGGCTCTGTCATCAATCTTCACTTTGAATGGCATTTTAAAGTTGGAGTTAGGGTGAGTCACTAGATCAGTACCTGTCTACACTGGAGCTAACGCTGTAATTTCTGCTTTGGGGAATCAAGGCCGTGGTAGCACTAGTTGTGTTAGTGCACTAAAAACAGAAGTGTAGCCACAACAGTGTGAGCAGCGGGATGAGTTAGCTGTCCTGAGTATGATCCAGTCTAAAACTCTAGGTCCCCTACCCCATCCTGCTGCTTGTGCTGCCACTACCACATTTCTATTTGTATCATGCCAGCTCCATCAGAGCTAGCATGGGTATGTCGCCTTGAGGTGCAAACCACACCTCCAGCTCCAGATTAGACATAACCATTAGAAAGCTAATTAACAGACTGGCATCAACAGCAAAGACCTGACCTCAATTGTGCCCTTCCTGCACGGTTTCTGTTTGGAAGGCCCTCCCCACAGGCCTCTAACCTGATACTCCCAGTAACCTTGAACATACAAATCCCAGCATTCAGAACTGTGGCGGACATGGAGGTGCATCAAGACCTGACTCCTCCAATGGAAACCTGCTATCAGAATGGTAGTATCCAAACAGCTGCCTAATTACCCATAGCAACAAGATAATCGTCTTTCAGGTTCCATCTGGGACCCTTGGCAAGGAAGAAAATTGGCAGCTCTCACTTTGCAGAATCAAACACAAGTGATTTTAAAATTCTTCAGCACTGTGGAGAGAGAGAGAAATCAAATCTAACCAATAGTAAACACTGTTGTATAGGAGAGAAAACCAAAGCCCCTGTTCAAAAGCTGTCTTTTATATTGTAATCAGTCTTTTCAGGCACACATAGAGGTCTGACCCACCATGGTGTTACTCCAGCTTCTCATGAATGGAACTGCATTCATTTTAGTGCAGCAACAACAGTGTAAAATGAGTGAAATAGTAGTGGGTAGGCACTTTCTTCTGAAAGGAAAACATCTTGGAACCCTGAGCTCATGGCATTCTCTACTGGAACCATGCAGTCAGCAGTGACCAAAGAATACAGATTGTGACAGAGTAAGGCCAGAGGGCTACAGGATAGAAGTGGAGGGGAAATATATTTAGCCCCAGATTAAATAGGTCTCTGTTCCCAGGATAGACTAGCAAAGGCTGATCCAGAACCACCAAGAACCTGCTAGAATCAGTCAGAGCAATCAGGCCAATTAAAACACCTGGAACCAATTAGGAGGCATCCAGAGTCAAGAAAGCCAGACTAATTAGAACACCTGGGGACCAATTAAAACCAATTGAGACTGGTTTAAATACACTTCTCTTCTACTTGCTCATTGTGGCTACGTTTACACTGCAGCACTACTTTGGGATACCAGAGTATCCTGAAATAGCTATCCCACGTCTTCACAGAGAGCCCATTATTTCAAAATATAATGGGCTCGCTAATCCGACGTCCCTGTAAACCTCATTGCATGAGGAGAAAGGAATGTTTCAGAATAGTGGGTTATTTCAAAATTGGGCGCTGTGTAGACAGTGCCAAATTACGAAATAAACTAGTTCAAAAATAAGATCAAACTAAGATATGCAATTTGCGTAGCTCAAATTGTGTATCTTATTTCGAGCTACACTGCAGTGTGTGAGGAAGAAGCTGATGAGAGTAAATGTGGTGGAGTGTCTGGGAGAACCAAGTGCAAGCAAATACCAGGAGGAGAGCCTCTAGTAAGGAAGGTATTGGGGAAGGCTGTGAGGAAGTTGCCCAGGGATTTGCAGCTGTCATGCAGCTGTTACTAGAATCATTATAGACAGCTGCTATTACAGGTCCCTGGGCTAGAACCCGGTGTAAAAGGCAGGCCTGGGTTCCCACCACCAACAACTTCCCATTTCAGAACTAGAAAGAGACTGGTTTTGCTACAAGGGTTTGTCCTACCCTCTACCACTTGGAGAGGCCACAGAGACTGTGAAGTTTGGTTTCCCCTTTTTCCCCATGCTGGCCAGTGATGAGAGTAGCTCAACAAACAGAAAGCCAGTGTCTAAATTGAGGGCTGCTATGAGCCTCTGAGGGCAAGTAAATCCACCTGAAAACTCAGGAATTATATCTTCTAACAAAGCTCCTCCTTAAACTTAGTGGGTCCAGTTTTCTGAATGTAGGAATTTAAGGCAATTTTTTTTCATGGTTTCAATAATATCCCTCCTTGCTCTGCTGATAAGCTGAGCTAAGGAGTTTGCATCATTTGTTAAAAAAAACAAAAATGGTAGTTTATGATATAAAAAATGAAAATTAATTATGAAGGAAAAAACCATCTTCCAAAGAGTATTTGTTAAAAGTAAAATTGGCTAGAAAAGTCAGAATAGAAACCCATTCACGGTGGTTTAAGCAAAACATATCTGATCCCTTACTCAAACGCGTCCCTTTGGATTACCCCTGAAATGTGAAAATGCATTCCACATATCTGCTTTGTGGTGGTTTATAGATTTTTACTTATTCTTGCCCTTATACCAAACCCTCTAATTTGGTTGCAGTATTCCAGCCTTAGAATTGTGTTATAGTAGTTACTTCCCAACGTAGAGATGTGAATATAAGCATTCCGGGTTTCTCTCTGCTTAGTTTTACATTTTCCTCATTAGTTACCTGTACTATGTAGCAAAAAATCCTTTTCCAATGTAAATGAAAAATAGACCCCATTATTCTATTCTCTGTTTTGTCGAGCTGAAGATTAAAACTACTGTAAATTCTCTGAGATGAATACAGGTGCTTTCAAGCCTGCCTGCTAAGTGAAACCCTTTCTCGGGCACAAATTGTATCTGAAAGTATTCTGTCAGTTTGAGTTATAAAGATTTGTTCATTCACCCATATATATTACATGAGTATTTACAAATAATTGATTATACTTCAGCTTCATGGAGGTTACTTGAAAGTTCTATTGGACCAAATTCCCATTATCTTAAAATTACCTTTGGTTCACTTTGTGAACATTTATTTAATATGCTTCTAAGGAGGATATATGTGGCGGTGTAGCTGTGTCAGTTCCAGAGTATTAGAGGGGCAAGATAGATGAGATAATATAATTTATTGGATCAACTTCTGTTTAAGGAGGATGGGTTTTTCATAGAATCATAGAATCATAGGACTGGAAGGGACCTCAAGAGGTCATCGAGTCCAGCCCCCCGCCCTCAAGGCAGGACCAAGCTCCATCTACACCATCCCTGACAGATGTCTATCTAACCTGTTCTTAAATATCTCCAGAGAGGGAGATTCCACCACCTCCCTTGGCAATTTATTCCAATATTTGACCACCCTGACAGTTAGGAATTTTTTCCTAATGTCCAATCTAAACCTCCCCTGCTGCACTTTAAGCCCATTACTCCTTGTCCTGTCCTCAGAAACCAAGAGGAACAAATTTTCTCCTTCCTCCTTGTGACACCCTTTTAGATATTTGAAAACCGCTATCATGTCCCCCCTTAATCTTCTTTTTTCCAAACTAAACAAGCCCAGTTCATGAAGCCTGGCTTCATAGGTCATGTTCTCTAAACCTTTAATCATTCTTGTTGCTCTTCTCTGTACCCTTTCCAATTTCTCCACATCTTTCTTGAAATGTGGCGCCCAGAACTGGACACAGTACTCCAGCTGAGGCCTAACTAGTGCAGAGTAGAGCGGCAGAATGACTTCACGAGTTTTGCTTACAACACACCTGTTGATACAACCTAGAATCATATTTGCTTTTTTTGCAACAGCATCACACTGTTGACTCATATTCAACTTGTGGTCCACTATGACCCCTAGATCCCTTTCTGCCATGCTCCTTCCTAGACAGTCGCTTCCCATCTTGTATGTATGGAACTGATTGTTCCTTCCTAAGTGGAGCACTTTGCATTTCTCTTTATTAAACCTCATCCTGTTTACCTCTGACCATTTCTCTAACTTGCTAAGGTCATTTTGAATTATGTCCCTATCCTCCAAAGAAGTTGCAACCCCACCCAGTTTGGTATCATCTGCAAACTTAATAAGCGTACTCTCTATCCCAATATCTACATCATTGATGAAGATATTGAACAGTATGGGTCCCAAAACAGACCCTTGAGGAACTCCACTTGTTATCCCTTTCCAGCAGGATTTAGAACCGTTAACAACAACTCTCTGACTACGGTTATCCAGCCAATTATGCACCCACCTTATCGTGGCCCTATCTAAGTTATATTTGCCTAGTTTATCAATAAGAATATCATGCGAGACCGTATCAAATGCCTTACTAAAGTCTAGGTATATGACATCCACCGCTTCTCCCTTATCCACAAGGCTCGTTATCTTATCAAAGAAAGCTATCAGATTAGTTTGGCATGACTTGTTCTTCACAAACCCATGCTGGCTATTCCCTATCACTTTATTACCTTCCAAGTGTTTGCATATGATTTCCTTAATTACCTGCTCCATTATCTTCCCTGGGACAGACGTTAAACTGACCGGTCTGTAGTTTCCTGGGTTGTTCTTATTCCCCTTTTTATAGATGGGCACAATATTTGCCCTTTTCCAGTCTTCTGGAATCTCCCCTGTCTGCCATGATTTTTCAAAAATCATAGCTAAAGGCTCAGATAGCTCCTCTATCAGCTCCTTGAGTATCCTGGGATGCATTTCATCAGGACCTGGTGACTTGCTGACATCTAACTTTCCTAAGTGATTTTTAACTTGTTCTTTGTGTATCCTATCTTCTAAACTTACCCTCTCTCTGCTTGTATTCACTACGTTAGGCACACCTCCAGACTTCTCGGTGAAGACCGAAACAAAGAAGTCATTGAGCATCTCTGCCATTTCCAAGTTTCCTGTTACTGCTTCTCCCTCCTCACTGAGCAGTGGGCCTACCCTGTCCTTGGTCTTCCTCTTGCTTTTAATGTATTTATAAAAGGTCTTCTTGTTTCCCTTTATGCCTGTAGCTAGTTTGATCTCATTTTGTGGCTTTGCCTTTCTAATCTTGCCCCTGCATTCCCGTGTTGCTTGCCTATATTCATCCTTTGTTAGTTGTCCTAGTTTCCATTTTTTATATGACTCCTTTTTTATTTTGAGATCATGCAAGATCTCCTTGTTAAGCCAAGCTGGTCTTTTGCCATATTTTCTATCTTTCCTACATAGCGGAATTGTTTGCTTTTGGGCCCTTAACAACGGTTTTGAACACTGGTTCTTCTGTTTTGTATTTTCCTTCATGCAGAATGAAATGCTGCCAGAGTTCAAGTTTCAGACCTATAAGTTCCATTTCTCTCCTGGTCCATTTCTCTCCCCCCTAACTCTACCCCTTCCTTTTAAAAAAAAAAACGTAAGTATAGCTTAGCTTTAAATGGCCAGGCTTCCTAGCACATGTGTGTTCTGTTTTAAAAACCCATCACCTAAAACACCCAAAGAAACACATGGTAGATGTTGATAAATATCTGAAGAGTCTTCAGATCGGTCTTAAGAGAACTGATTGATTCAGGAACACATCATCCCTATTCATCTCCCTTCATCATAAACGTCTGGTCCCGAAAGCCTCAAACTCAACTGTTTCTAGGGGAATCAGGTGAGTTGCCAGTGCATATGGAGCTGTGGAAAACAGACTGCAGAAGATGTTCTGAACAGAAAAGGCCTAGGCCACTGAAAAGGAAGCCTGCAAAGCTGCCTCCTGCTCACCCCTCAACACCCTTATAAAGCTCCCCAGGCTTCGTCTTCATTGCTCTGCAGCACAGACCTTCAGCAAGCACTGGCCCTAAAATAGTCTGAACTGCCATTCAAATATCTGAGGCTTAGAAGATGGATTCGGTATTGCTTAAGTCCTTAACTCAATAAATATTTGTTTTTCTTCATTTAAATTGTTGCCCTGGGGTGGGAATGAGGCTGCTCTGGAGGGGGGGGGAAGACCCCCAGGCCTCTCTCACCGCAGCAGGTTGGGGCCAGGTGAGAAGTGCCCCTCCATGGCCGCTGCAGTGGCACAGCTGGGGGATGCATGTCCCCTGGCTGGGGGACAGACAGACAAACTCTCCCAAATATATAGTAGATCTCTGCCCCTTTCTCCGCTCCTACCTCTTGCAGCCTCGGTGGGGTTATAGCTGTCCTGGTCCCCATCTCTGTCCCCTTGCTGCCCCCCTGCGGTCATTATACTTTCCAACCCATAATCCCTACTGCCCCCATCTGGTCATTATATAGCCTTCCTTTTCCATTTTCTGAGAAACAATTGCATTCCAGGCACATCCCATTGTCCTGGCACAACCAAACCCTGGCCTTACTGAATTTGGTGGTTGGTTCTAGCTCTTGCCATTTAGGACGAGTTCTTGAAAAAACAGTCACACCGACACACTCACAGTCAGACAAACTCTCAAATACATAGTAGATCAGGGCAGAAGTGAGTCCCAGAAAAGAGATAATCAGGTAACCAATTTTATGTTATCATATTAAGGCACAAGAGTTTGCAGGTTCAAAATGGTCCATGTAAATTGTGTGTACAATTGCATGTTTGTTTGGCATATACAGTTAGTCCAGTTATACATATACAACAAATTGCGTGACGGTGCATGCAGATGGTAAATCATGCTATCTTGGACTCTAGAGAAGATGAAAGTTAAAATTGTAAATAGTAAAAGCTTTTTTATATATGAATTGTTATATGAAATCATAAACTGTACAAATCAAACTCTGTCACAGGTGAAATTACTTATGGAGGGCGAGTTACAGACACCTGGGATCAGAGATGCCTGCGTACAGTCTTAAAGAGGTTTTTTGCTCCTGAAACATTAGAAGATTATTACAAATATTCTGAGTCAGGTAAATGCAATTAGAATTATAGAGGGTTTCCATTTACATTAATGAAAACCTGGAATTATGTTTGTCTCACCTTTTTTTAAAGTTTTACGTGTTTAATTCTATATTTATGTGGCAGAAAAATTCTGGTTCATTCTGTGTGTCCAAGAACTGGATAACAAGCTAAGTTATTAAAGTCTTCCTAGTTTTTAATTGAGAAAAAGTCTCTTGGCACAGAGAGGACATTATTGGTCATGTGTGTCCTTCCAATCCCATAGACGAAGTTTCTGGCCCAGAAGTGCAGTTTCCAAAAATAAGCTCTTGGCCCAAACTTTGCAATATTTAAGAACCTGTGAACCTTGAGCTCTGCCATGGACTGTCTAAGGTTTTTGGGGACTCCTTTTAACAGTTTGGGGCAAATATTGGCCTGTGGGTCAGATCTAGTTCATCAGGATTAGCCCCTAACAGGCTGCCACCACTTTATTTATCTATGCCTTCTCAAGCACAGGCAACTGTAATTCCTATTGGCCATGGATCACTGTTCCTGGCCAATGGGAGCTGTGGGAAACAGTGTCTCATTCCTCCCCACTTCCCGCAGCTCCCATTGGCCAGGAATGGTGATTCACAGCAGAAGGGAGCTGCAATCGCCTGTACCTATGGAGGTACAGGTGAATATAGTGATGGTGGGCCGCCAGGGGTTAAGCCTGGTGAACCATCACTGTCTTAATGCTCACCCCTGCCTTAGAGTATTGTTATTCTCTGAAAATTCACTATGTAAAATATTGTCTTCCTACTTGGATCCTTGTGCCCAATTATCTTCTTGCACTAGTTTTACATTAGAGTAGCCCCATTGACTGCCATGGAGTTACTCATGATTTACTCTAGTGCAAGCAAAAAGACAATTAGTCCCACGGTATGTATAAAGAGTTATAGCTGTTGAACGTAGTGACAAGATTAGTTTTGCTCCTATTTAGTATTTGTTAGCACTGCTGAGCCAACATAATTAATACAAATAACTGTTAGTGCTTCTAACTTACAGCTCTTAACAATGTGTATCATTCTTTGCAATGCATTCTATCTCCATTTTACAGACAGGGAAACTGAAAGAGAGAGAGAGCAAGGGTGAAAGTTTCACAAGTGCTTACCCCACGCATCTCCTGTGGTTCTGACAAGGGCCCATCATAATTTGAACATTTAAAAATCCAGCACTCCAAATGGGAGCTCATAAGTGGTCTGGGTCACACTGTGACCCACAGGAAATAAAACCCAGCTTCTGACTTCCTGTCTAGTACTATACTGTAGATGATGCTACCTCCTGTTAAAAAGAGAGGACTGACACATGGGCAGATTTTTTACTAATATCCAATAAATTAAATTTGAGGAAACCCATAGAAGACAACGCAGTTGCCCAGGCATCTTCAGGGGCATAATCTGAATACAAAATGCTTGTGCATTTGCATTTGAGGGTAGAATTTGACCTGCAAAACCTTTGTGGAAGGTGACAGTGTGAGAGACTCCATCTTGACATATTCTAGGGTGAATGGCAGATTAGAAAAAAATATCATTTTACTTGTGAATTGAGCGTATCTGATCTGGCAATGACTGAGAGATGATAAACCTAGAACTGCTATATTATCAGAGTCTCTTCACTGATGAGACCAGTACTTTAAAGTTCTTACCAAAACTAGCCTCATTAGAGGACTTAGAGATCTTAGCTAAAAGTTTTGCACAACCAAGACAATTCAAATATTTCTGCAGGATTTATCATTCCCAGTGAGTCCTTGTATCCTGCTGATACTAATACCCTGGGCATCTTCAGGGAGAAGTGGGAACTCTATTGCTTCCCCTTGAACATTGAAAAGCTGCATAGCACCATGTTCAACAGATATTTGAGAGGGATTCCATGTCCACAAGCATGGCATGTTGTCAGCATTCTCTGCCTGAAATAAGTGACCAGCTTGTTAAACTAAGAGTTGATCAGAGGGACATTTTGCACTAATTTGGGAACATTTTACGCCACCTTTGCATTGTTGCAAATGAGTCCACAAGGCAGAGTGTAATGAAGAGCCAAGCCCATACAGTTCAGTTTTCATCTTCTCCTTGAGCTGGGCTATTCCTCAGATTCCTTTTTGTCAGGACTGCTCCACTTACCCCCTCTCCAGAAGGGTTCTTCTACCTTTCTTGTTGGATGGTTCTCTGCCTCACACTGATGTCTCAGAGTCACTAGAACCCACTTCACCATTTCTGTGCAGGAACAGCACCTGCTAATGGGGAGCAGGTTTTCAGACATGCTGCCACCCCATCATCCTTCTGCTCTATCCTGTACACACAACTGCAATCCCATATTTTGGTGTTTGTTCCAGTCCCCACGTATGCACTGTCCTGGAAGACGAGGGAGAGCGGAGAAGGGAATTCAGTTTCAGTTTGCTGAATATCCATCACAGGCCAGTGACAGACTGCTCTTACTTCAGTCTAGCACTTTTATCTCAGCTACACCATGCTTGCCTTCTTCCGTGCTCTCAACAGATGGCAATTACTCATGAGTCGGTTTAGTCCCAGCGGTGTAAATGGCTAAGTAGCTACAAGCCTCCAAAGAAGAAAAGCGCTGTAATGACCCAGCAGGGAGCTGGAAGGCCAGTCAGGAGTGAACGTGAGGTTCAGTGTATCAGTGTGAGCTGCCACTTGAAAGGTTTTTAGCTCACCCATCAAGCCTCTGAACGCCATTTGAGTCTTTTTATTTTAAATAGGGTTTGTGCTGTCTATGGAGCATACCAAGCAACATCTCATATCCTGCTCCTGTTTTTACATTGTTTCCTTAGGCAATAAAATCCAGTTGCTTTTCAGTTCCAAAATATAAGAGTGGGGAACCTGTTGGCTTCAAAAGTTCTAGTTCCTCTGAAATGCTAAGACTCGCTAATATAAAATGCGAACATGTGAGATTTTGGGCGTACCTTTGTAAAATTCTGCCTCTAACAATTGTAGAGTGTCGGAATCTGATATATGCCTGCTACTCATTATGAAAAAGTTACATTTGGATGTATTTTAAAGCGTCTTCATATTGACGATTTATGTGGTGAATTCTTTTACTTCTTTGGGTGTGTGTTCAGTAACTTAAGTTTTTCACCAATAGTATACGATACATACATTTTTACATTACTGTACAGTTTTGCTCACAATAAAGCATTTTAACATGGAGTCTGTATGTGCATTTGTGTAACAGGTGTATATTTTGCCCCTCTGGCTGATAGTTTGCAAGATTTTAAAGACTATATTGAAAATCTTCCTTTGATCGATGACCCAGAAATATTTGGAATGCATGAGAACGCTAATTTGGCTTTCCAGGTTTGTAGGCTTTTCTTAAATACATGTTCTAAATTAATAGTATGAAATGAATAATACTTTATAGCTTAAAGGAAGAATTGGATTTAGTAATTATAGTCTGTTAAACAGAAATAACAAGCAGGAATTGTTAGGCAATCCACCCCTACTTGTTAGATATTTTCCTTCAGATGTAATATTAGGTAGAGGAATCCAGAATGTTTTCTTTAACCTGTTTCCTGTTAAACTGCATTTTAATGATGTGCACCATGATTTAAGCTGGACTGTTATTTATTGACATTGATTCTGTCCTTAGTTTTACACAAATCAGCCCCTTCTCATGGAACACTCTAATTCCTGATGAGGCTGAGGAGAGCTTTGAAGAAATACTGACAACCTGTTCAGAACATGTATGATTAGAATTCTGGAAGTTTGTTTGGGTACCTCTAGGGAAGGAGCCTAAGTTTTAATACATCTAAAGTGCCAGTCTCATAAGTCTAGGCAGCACAGCATTACACAGTTACAAGCACTCACTAAAAATAGCTGAATAACATGGTTGAAATTTTGAAAGCTGACTAGAGGATTTAGAGACATATGGGTGGGACTCAAGTCATCTGGATTCAGTTTCTGGCTCCGTCAAAGAATTGGTGACCTTAGGCAAGTCACTTAATCTCCCTGGGTATGTCTACACTACAGAGTTAGTTCGAACTAACGTCCGTTAGTTCGAACTAACGTCCGTTAGTTCGAACTAACGTCCGTTAGTTCGAACTAACGTCCGTTAGTTCGAACTAACGTCCGTTAGTTCGAACTAACGTCCGTTAGTTCGAACTAACGTCCGTTAGTTCGAACTAACGTCCGTTAGTTCGAACTAACGTCCGTTAGTTCGAACTAACGTCCGTTAGTTCGAACTAACGTCCGTTAGTTCGAACTAACGTCCGTTAGTTCGAACTAACGTCCGTTAGTTCGAACTAACGTCCGTTAGTTCGAACTAACGTCCGTTAGTTCGAACTAACGTCCGTTAGTTCGAACTAACGTCCGTTAGTTCGAACTAACGTCCGTTAGTTCGAACTAACGTCCGTTAGTTCGAACTAACGTCCGTTAGTTCGAACTAACGTCCGTTAGTTCGAACTAACGTCCGTTAGTTCGAACTAACGTCCGTTAGTTCGAACTAACGTCCGTTAGTTCGAACTAACGTCCGTTAGTTCGAACTAACGTCCGTTAGTTCGAACTAACGTCCGTTAGTTCGAACTAACGTCCGTTAGTTCGAACTAACGTCCGTTAGTTCGAACTAACGTCCGTTAGTTCGAACTAACGTCCGTTAGTTCGAACTAACGTCCGTTAGTTCGAACTAACGTCCGTTAGTTCGAACTAACGTCCGTTAGTTCGAACTAACGTCCGTTAGTTCGAACTAACGTCCGTTAGTTCGAACTAACGTCCGTTAGTTCGAACTAACGTCCGTTAGTTCGAACTAACGTCCGTTAGTTCGAACTAACGTCCGTTAGTTCGAACTAACGTCCGTTAGTTCGAACTAACGTCCGTTAGTTCGAACTAACGTCCGTTAGTTCGAACTAACGTCCGTTAGTTCGAACTAACGTCCGTTAGTTCGAACTAACGTCCGTTAGTTCGAACTAACGTCCGTTAGTTCGAACTAACGTCCGTTAGTTCGAACTAACGTCCGTTAGTTCGAACTAACGTCCGTTAGTTCGAACTAACGTCCGTTAGTTCGAACTAACGTCCGTTAGTTCGAACTAACGTCCGTTAGTTCGAACTAACGTCCGTTAGTTCGAACTAACGTCCGTTAGTTCGAACTAACGTCCGTTAGTTCGAACTAACGTCCGTTAGTTCGAACTAACGTCCGTTAGTTCGAACTAACGTCCGTTAGTTCGAACTAACGTCCGTTAGTTCGAACTAACGTCCGTTAGTTCGAACTAACGTCCGTTAGTTCGAACTAACGTCCGTTAGTTCGAACTAACGTCCGTTAGTTCGAACTAACGTCCGTTAGTTCGAACTAACGTCCGTTAGTTCGAACTAACGTCCGTTAGTTCGAACTAACGTCCGTTAGTTCGAACTAACGTCCGTTAGTTCGAACTAACGTCCGTTAGTTCGAACTAACGTCCGTTAGTTCGAACTAACGTCCGTTAGTTCGAACTAACGTCCGTTAGTTCGAACTAACGTCCGTTAGTTCGAACTAACGTCCGTTAGTTCGAACTAACGTCCGTTAGTTCGAACTAACGTCCGTTAGTTCGAACTAACGTCCGTTAGTTCGAACTAACGTCCGTTAGTTCGAACTAACGTCCGTTAGTTCGAACTAACGTCCGTTAGTTCGAACTAACGTCCGTTAGTTCGAACTAACGTCCGTTAGTTCGAACTAACGTCCGTTAGTTCGAACTAACGTCCGTTAGTTCGAACTAACTCTGTAGTGTAGACATACCCCTGTGTCTTTGTTTCCTTTGTGTCTGTAAATAATACTTCCTTTCTCCCACCCTTAGAATTATCTGAGAGCTCTTCTGGAGAGAGACTGTCTCTTGTGATAAACATGTACAGCAGCTAGCATGACAGGGCTTTGATCTTGATGGGTAACTCCAATGCGCTACTGTAACAATGATTTTTCATTAATTTAGTAGCAGTTAAGTGGTTAAGTCCCCTGGCTGCTTTGTAAAGCTCAGCTGCACACTGTCTCTCCCGCATGCAGCACACTTTTGTCAGCCCCCAAAACAAAGAGTTTTAATATTTTCCATTTCAATTCTACATGAAAAAAGATCAAAACATATCTCAGTTTCTGTATGAAGTTCATATCTACTGCATTTTTGCAGAAGCAACTTTTGAACTGGAATATCTTTTGTCTGTCTTATCTTTTGTAGGTCATACGCATTGAATTAAAAAAAATCCACTTTTGCCCATAATATATTCTAATAATTGTAAAAACTAGACTAATGTAGCAATAAACTTACAACACAACACCATAAAAGCAATAGACTATCACACCACCTAAAAACAACACATTATATAATAGACTGGTCCTACGGGATTGAAGTAGATATTTTATAACTTCCAATACTAAGATAATTAAAAACATTAAAATTTTAACTCGATTCTCTTAACTTTATAGTCTTATTCAGTATGTCTTACAGGAAGTCTAATGAGCTCAGTTAGAAATGTACTGAGAAAAATGCCCATTTCACACTTCTTTCCATAGAAAGCACTAAAAATTATAGTTACCTTTAGATAGGTCAGTGGGGAAAAGATCCATGAATGGTTTTTATCAAATTGTAAATGTTTATACTGAATTCAAACAGCATCAAAGGTCTGGAATTCAGTGCAGTGGAATGGATGCATTTTACAAGTGAAAGAGCTTGAAACAAATGACACCTATGTTTTCTAGGGGTTTTTTCTTTTATATATATTGACTCAAAATAATGCATTCAGTGATTATGGAGACTTTTTTCTTATGGTAACAATAGCTGGTAAAATAAGCCACCTAGAAACAGAGCAAACTCCTATTTAGATATCTATTCCTTTTTCAAGTAAATTCCAGAATAAAAATATCATGAACAAATTATAAAATGTTCCTTGGAAGGAATTAAACCTTGCTGGTTAGTTGTTTCTATTCAGAATCAAGTAATACTTGTGGTGGAAAATTGAGAAAGGATCACTGCTTCTTTGTTTCTCTCTTTGCAGCGTAAAGAGACAAGCACTTTAATCACAACCATGCTTGAAGTTCAGCCAAGATCAACTGCACAAGGATCAGGCAAAAGCAATGATGAAATTGTTCAAGAGCTGGCTAGCACTATCTTGACCAAACTGTCTGGTAGGGAAGCATTGTTAATGTGTTTTTCCCCAATCTTTCTTCTTATACATAATAGCGTTTGGGGAAATTGTTTGCTCGTTTGTTTGTTTTCATTGACGAAGAACTGTTTGCACAATTCGCTACAGAGGAAAACCATTATCACTGATGATCTCAGATGTGAATGTATTTCTACCCTGATGCAATAAAACTACTAGGGACTCCATGTAAACCAAACTTGTTAAAATGGATTAAAATATCCTGTACTTTAAATCAGCGGGCCCATTCCGCTTCATTTACTTAACGTGTCCGTAGCCACAGAGCCTCACGGCTTCCATTGGCTGCAGTTCACCTTGCCACATGGGCGCCGGAAGTTTTAAGAGGTAATAGGCCCCATCCTGCAATCAAACCTGCACAGGGAGTCACTTAACCGCAAGTCAATGGAATTCTATGCTGGCTGGCTCTTATACAAACACCAAATTGGATTGACTTCAGTGTGGATTTCAGGCAGGCAGAAGGGCCATCTCACGAGGGTCTGATGGCAGGGTTAGGGCACACCGGGTGTTTTGAGATTTAGCTATTGCATATAAATGCAGTGTTCAGATAGCCTTCCCCATAATAATGTGCTTCCGAGCTGGGGGAATGGTTGTGACTGTTAAATCCTTGTACAATAATTACCGTTTTTTAAATTATGCATCATTGTGCCATTAATATGCAAACACTTCAGATGCAATTATCTGCATGTAGTGTTTAGGAAACAAACTCTTGGCCCAGCTAGCGAAATATCACTAAAACTCTTTGCTCCATAATCATTGTGAAGATGTTTCATTTGTTCCCATTTTGAAAAGAATGTGTTTCAATACGTTTTTAATGTCAAATGGTTTAGTGGTTTCGGTTTGGAGAGAGGTGGACTGTCTTGATTTTAGAGTGTGTATTCTGGAAATCTGTCTTACTAACGTACATTTGTACAAAACGTCGTTTGCAAACTCTGTGTTGGGTGAACTGTTTTCATGCTCGTAGAGCTGCATGTTAAACAACAGCACCATCAGGAGCATCAGATTTGATCTAACAACAAGGGGCCAGATCTTCAGCTGGGATAACTGGCCCCATTCCGCTGACTTTGGTCTGGCTGATTTGTACCAGTGGAGCCTTTTTTGTCCAAGTGTAATGTATGGTTAAGGACAAACCGTGTCCGTCCTGTGACGGCGTGGAGGGCACTGGCTTGCCTGTAGTCCTGCTGTGTCTGCCCTAGGGAAGATTTTGGGTGACTCAAGGGCACAGATCCTAGTTCTACCCAGGCTTCCCTGCACATCGGTGCTCATCGGAGATTCAGAAGGGGAGTTGGACTGGTGGATGCGCCGCTCAGTGATCCATCGTTCATTCTCCCTGTGTGAGGGTGGATGGGCATGGTGAAGGTGACATGGGACCTGAGGCTGCTGTAGCAAACACAGCAACAACGCAGCTTCTCCAGAAAATGGGGTGGAAGCAAGCAGGTATTTTTTCCAACCAATCCCTGGGGAGCTCCCCAGCAGAGGTGTACTTAGAGACCAAGCTCACCGAGAAGGAAATAGCAGTTCCCTGGTTGAGGAAACATTGTTCCTCTTCTTCCTGCGCTGGAGTGACACCAGAACTTTCCGAGCGATAATCGAGCATTTCCATTGCAGGAAAACTGGACTTAGACACTGCTTCAGAAAGCCTTTTTGTCAAGGATGACAAAGGACGTGTGGACTCGTTAACTACTGTACTTGGACAAGAAGTGGATCGGTTCAACAACCTGCTCGAGTTGCTAAGAGTACGAGGCTCAGTTAAATTACTTTCCGTTGAGTGCCCCTGTTCTGTAGCACTATAGCACAAACAATTCTTCAGTGGGTTCGGTTTTAATTCAATTAGTCCTCTTTCACACTCCAACCACTCCCTCGTGGCCAGCAGTGCCTTGCACCGGTTGTCCCCTTCTGCAGGGCTCTTACACATAGACTCCCTTACCACTCACAGCCCTTCTTGGGGGCTGGCTTCTTTATTAACACACAGGTCCAAAGAGCAAACCAACACGCTGAGTCACTGTCCATCCCTGCTACTTGAGCAGCCAACATTTGCTGCAGGAGACCCTCCTTCCCATCAGCATCACTCTATAATTCTCCTTTCAGCTGTGCCCTTGCTGAATTGCAATCCGTGTTTGCAGCCCCCTTAATTGGCTCAACTGGAAACAACCTCTCTGGCATGGGGAGCCGGATCTATTTCAGTGGTCAGTGTGTGATTTAATTCCCTTACTGAGCCAGTATCCTTCAACAGGACATTCATTAACAGGTGTGTTGTGAGCAAGACACGAGAAGTCATTCTTCCGCTCTACTCTGCACTGATTAGCCTCAGTTGGAGTATTGTGTCCAGTTCTGGGCGCCACATTTCAAGAAAGATGTGGAGAAATTGGAGAGGGTCCAGAGAAGAGCAACAAGAATGATTAAAGGTCTAGAGAACATGACCTAGGAAGGAAGACTGAACGAATTGGGCTTGATTAGTTTGGAAAAGAGAAGACTGAGAGGGGACATGATAGTGGTTTTCAGGTATCTAAAAGAGTGTCAAAAGGAGGAGAGAGAAAACTTGTTCTTCCTGGCCTCTGAGGATAGAACAAGAAGCAATGGGCTTAAATTGCAGCAAGGGAGGTTTAGGTTGGACATTAGGAAAAAGTTCCTAACGGTCAGAGTAGTCAAACACTGGAATAAATTGCCCAGGGAGGTTGTGGAATCTCCATCTCTGGAGATATTTAAGAGTAGATTAGATAAATGTCTATCAGGGATGGTCTAGACAGTATTTGGTCCTGCCATGAGGGCAGGGGACTGGACTCAATGAACTCTTGAGTTCCCTTCCAGTCCTAGTATTCTATGAAATCTTCTGTAGCTCTGCTCCTAAAATGGAGATATTTTTGTAAAACATGGAGCATAAAACTGGCAAAGAGGGTAGACTTTCCTAATTGGTATACCACTGTAAAGAGCTTTTTGGTGCAGACAGTCATCTGAACTTGAATTCTTTTAATGATTTTGGAATGGAACTGAATCTGAGAGCTCCTTGAGCAGATATTTTGGGGAATGACAGTGTGCTTTCAGTGCACCCCTTTATGCTATACCCCGTTGCCTTTTCCCTATTATTTTGCAGTGACGTAGTAAAGATTTCAAGGCATCTTTTTAAATACACACGGAAATTTGTGTCCCAAACATGCAGTTATAAAGGTGAGCTGCACACACAACTGCAAATTTAGCCATGAGAAATTTCCCAAGGTGCTAAGTCAGTCAAACGTAAGTCAATTGGAGATGAAGATCATTGAGCCCTTCAGAAATCACGTATGTAGAAATCTAACGTGAGGTGCCCATGGATGGAAATGTTGGCCTGACTATGGAGAATATAATCCAGGGTGAGCAAAAAGTGGCCTATAGACCAGACACAGTTCACCAGGGTTAGCCTCTGGCAGGCCACTGGTGCTTTATTTACCTGCACATCCACAGATATGTTTGCTTGCAGTTCCCATTGGCCGTGGATTGCTGGTCCTGGCCAAAGGGAGCTGCAGGAAGCAGTGTCCCGCTCCACGCCACGTCTTGCAGCTCTCATTGGCAGGGAAGAGTGATCTCCAACCAATGGGAGCTGCTAGTGGCTGGCGGTCTGCCAGCGGGTAACCCTAGTGAACCACATTGCTCCCACTAGCCACTTATTGGCCACCCCAATGTAACGCATTCAAACTTTCCCAAACAACCTATGTCTAATCACCGTTTCTTGCATTCGTTTCTCTGATCCATCTCTCACTGTGTGTAAGGTTTTTCGCATGTGAGTGGAGAGCTTTTTTTTTTTTTTTGGCTAGTTTAATCTTTTTTGAACTCCCTGCTGAGAATACTCCATAACTTTGGAGAAGGAAGGAAGAGGGCAAAATAAGAAAACAGGTCTAACAAGATCACAGCACAGTTGCAGACAGATCATTTCTTAATGGATTTGACTGACAGGAAATTTTTACTCTCGTTTCCCACAAATTTATTGGTGGTTGGCAACATTTGAGTCAAGTTTGATTATAGATAATCTCTAACGTCAGCCAAGAGAGACTGCCACTGCCTCAATTTATAGAGAGATGGACCTTTGGTCTGACCCAGCATCTCTGTTCTTATGCTCTATGTTCATTCCTCAGCAGCCAGAGGACCGGAAGGGAGGGGAGAGAGATGCTGCCTTTTCCTCTGCATTGCTTTTTCTGCCTCTGACAGTGCTAGAAACTCAGTGACTTTCTCCCAAATGCCAGAGAAACCACAGAGTCTGAAAAAACAACAAATGGTCTGGTAGCACTTTATAGACTAACAAAATATGTATCCAACCTGCTCTTAAATATCGCCAGTGATGGAGATTCCACAACCTCCCTAGGCAATTTATTCCAGTGTTTAACCACCCTGACATTTGGGAACTTTTTCCCAATGTCCAACCTAAACCTCCCTTGCTGCAGTTTAAGCCCATTGCTTCTTGTCCTATCCTCAGAAGCCAAGGAGAACAATTTTTCTCCCTCCTCCTCCTTGTAACATCCTTTTAGATACCTGAAAGCTGCTATCATGTCCCCTCTCAGTCTTCCCTTTTCCAGACTAAACAAGCTGGCTACGTCTACACTGGCCCCTTTTTCGAAAGGGGCGTGCTAATTTTAAACTTCATAATAGGGAAATCCGCGAGGGATTTAAATATCCCCCGCGAGATTTAAATAAAGATGTCCACCGCTTTTTTCCGGCTTGGGGAAAAGCCGGAAAAAAGCTTCTAGACTGGCCCGATCCTCCGGAATAAAGCCCTTTTCCGGAGGATCTCTTATTCCTACTTTGAAGTGTATGGGCCAGTGTAGACGTAGCCGCTCTGTTCTTTCTGTCTTCCCTCATAGCTTATGTTTTCTAAACCTTCCGTCATTTCTCTTAATGACCAACTCTGGGAATCGAGACTATGTATGGCTATGCATGTGGAGGTGGTCAGGAACAAGCTCTTAGCACCCCATCAACCCAGATTTTAGCTTGGCAGTTGTCAGCGCTCAGTGAATTTGGTTTAACTGTTTATGATCATGGTCACACAGGGTATGTCTACACTACCCCGCTAGTTCGAACTAGCGGGGGTAATGTAGTCATCCGCAGTTGCAAATGAAGCCCGGGATTTGAATTTCCCGGGCTTCATTTGCATGAAGCTGGCCGGCGCCATTTTTAAATGCCGGCTAGTTCGGACCTCGTGCCGCGCGGCTACACGCGGCACGGACTAGCTAGTTCGGATTAGAAGCCTAATACTTCTAATTAGAAGCCTAATCCGAACTAGCTAGTCCGTGCCGCGTGTAGCCGCGCGGCACGAGGTCCGAACTAGCCGGCATTTAAAAATGGCGCCAGCCGGCTTCATGCAAATGAAGCCCGGGAAATTCAAATCCCGGGCAATTTCAATCCCGGGGCTTCATTTGAAACTGCGGATGACTACATTCCCCCCGCTAGTTCGAACTAGCGGGGTAGTGTAGACATACCCACATACTCACTTAAAGGCCATTTTAGATCAAGCTTATGGGATCTGCAATTCTCATAATAGCCATTGCAAAAATGCAGCTGCAATAAAGGCACTTATGGTTTGGTACATGATAGCATTTTTATTTTCCAGAGCTCTTTAGAAACCCTCAACAAAGCTATTGCTGGTTTTGTGGTGATGTCGGAAGAGATGGAGAAAGTATACAGCAGTTTTCTTAACAACCAAGTTCCCACCCTGTGGGCCGATGCAGCCTATCCTTCTCTGAAGCCGTTAGGTGGCTGGGTAAAAGACCTCGTGCTCAGGATAGCCTTTGTAGATGTAAGTAAATTGCCTTATGCTGAGGTGGCATGCCAGGTCCATGGACAGGGGCTGAATTTGGTCATTCCAGAAGCTTGAAAAGGAGTTTGGCCCAACCCTCCCACTGGAATTTTAAAATGAAACCTATCCAGCAGTGGGTCTCAAACTCTTTGGCCCATGGCCCACCCCACTCAACGCAGACCTTTCTGTGGACCACCAGCCAACCACCCATGGTAACAAAATGTGTGCAGGAGAGGATCTGCATGGGAGGGAGAGTGAAGCAGCGGTGTGGAGGTGCAGGCTTTCGGCGGGAGGGGGTTTGTGAAGGTGATGGAGGTATGGGGTCTGGGCATGAGGGGGATCAGGAGCACTTACTTGACTCCATGTCTCCCACTGCTCCCAGGCACCACCCCCCACTGCTCCCATTGGCCATGATTCTGGCCAATGGGAGCAGTGGGGAAAACCTCCAGGTTCCCCCAGCCAGGGGAAGGGAAGCGGTAGCGCGTGTAGCCACTTCCTTCCCCCACACGCTAGATCCAGCTCCCAAGGCTCACTCCCCCCTTCCCCCTCCACACACACAGTGGGAAACCGGCATGCTAGATCCAGCTCCCAAGGCTCACTCCCCCCTTCCCCCTCCACACACACAGTGGGAAACCGGTATTGGCACTCCAACCTCATGGGGTGAGGGGGCTGGAGCGCCATTGCAGGCTCCCTGCTGCGTGAGAGGGGTGAGTCCCAAGCCTGTGGTCCTACTGCAAGATGATCACGTTGTACTAGTGGTTCATGGACCGCACTTTGAGAACTGCTGCTGTACAGCATGTAGCACTCCCAGAAATCCCAGATGAATGGGCAAGAGGTCACCCACACCCAAATGCTGGTCTTGTCCATTGGCCATTTCCAGACACATGGTCTCAAGCAGTCACAAATAGGCAAGGTAGTGGTTTCCCGCTCTCCACCTTACGCTTACTCCTGCTCTCTCACCCTGGCTTCACCGGTTCTGCAGGCTGGTACTAGTAATAGCAGGCTTAGCGCTCCCTTCCCACAACCCCTTTGACCTTCGAACAGCCAATCTTCAGAGGGGGCCAAGAGGCCTTGACACATTACATAATGGAGAGCTCTTCAGAAGAGTTGCTTAAGAACTGAGCAGGCAGATGAGATTGCAACTGCTTTGCAGACCTGAACTCTGCACTTTTTCCTTCCTTCCAATCGTTTGTGTAGACATGTTATTTTTTCCACTTTAGTTTTCACCACAGTAGGCCAGCTAGGATGCCACGCACCTACTGGCAGGGTTCTACGTGGCAGCTGGGCGTATGGTCATTACCACTCTGGGAGCTTTGAGACCTGGATCCCAATTTCAAGGCTTAGGCCTCACTCTGATTTGACTGCAAAGCCAGCTGGTGTTAGGACTGGGGGACTTGGGCCGATCCATTCTGGAGACATACTGGTCACTCGTAAAACCTTGCCACTTTGTCTTTGAGACACCGAGGTGGTTAACTCAGTGTTTGCAGTGTTCCCTGTATTTCCCTGTGCATGCCACAGGGAAAATCTAAGGAACAGTACAAATACTATGCTACATTATTTATTTCTCAGAGGCAGTTTGACAAGATTTTAATGATATCTGCTGTAGGAGCCAGCTGTCGCAAGCATACTTCATAAGTGGAGAGCAAAAGGGAGCTCTCTGTTGTAAAAGAGCTTTTTTCCCATACAATAATGAGGTAAAGATTCAGTCCTCCATGGTTTGAATCTCGTGGGGGGAGAGGTCTGGTCTTGGGACCAAACTCAGCTCTGCTCTTTGTGGCCACCATTGAATTCAGTGAGGTTGGGCCCATTTACAGCAAGTTGAATTTGCCCTCGATGGAAATATCTAGGGGTACGTCTACACTAGCCCCCTCGTTCGAACTAGGGAAGCTAATGTAGGCATTCAAAGTTGTAAACCAAGCCTGGGATTTAAATATCCCGTGCTTGATTTGCATCTTCCCGGCCAGTCACCATTTTTTGAAATTTACAAGTCCGGACTAAATGCCCGTGTCTACACGTGGCAGGCACCCGGTAGTTTGAAATAAAGCCCTAGTTCGAACTACCTGTTATTCCTCCTGGAATGAGGTAGACGTACCCTAGGAAATGTCACATTTCTATTTTACTGCATAATATACACTAACATGTTCTGCTTCTAGTCCTGGCTCCGAAGGGGACAACCGAAGTCTTTCTGGATCTCTGGTTTCTTTTTTCCACAAGGATTTCTGACAGGTAAAAAAAAAAAAAAAAAAAAAATCAGTCTCAGTAATGTATATGCCTAAAACCTGTTGCCTGCTCTACAAAACAAAAAGTGCTGGGACACCAAGTTGCTAGGTCTGTGGGTGCCCCCACCACCTGCCTATGTTTTCCAGGACTTCCTCCTTTGCATGTAGCTGAAAATGGGCTGAGTTATGAGCCTTTGTATGAGACAGAGAAGCAGAAGAGTCTGAAGCCCTCTTTGGCTCTGCCCTTTGGCTTTAATACACATGCAGAGAGGCTGGAGGGAATGGTCTTTCCAAGCCTTAGCTCTGCAAGAGGAAACATATGTATAGGAGGGAAGTCTTTGCTAATTGCCCCCTCACTGGAGCTGAACCCAAAGATTGGAAACAACGTCACCCAACCTGATACTTTTTCTCTCCTGAAAGAGAGAGGTCTCGTGGCCCTGTCAGCAGCCGAATCCCAGAAAGCTGAAGGACAGTATTTCATCAGAATACAAATAAAGAAAGAAAATACATGTAAATGAACACAGTTTGATTTGTTTTCAAGTAGGCGGGGAAAGCATCCAGATTGTTGTCACACACTATAAATAGTTATTACCGAGAGCACAGTGATCGCTTTGCTTCCTTGGTTCCAGAGTAGAGTTAATAATTGCAACACTTCCGATTAGAAAACCTCCCTCTTGTCTGCCGCTAAGATACAGGGTTCCACGGGCCTGTGTGCAAGTTTGCATGTTTCCAACATTTTTCACACAGTAGTCATAGCTAACGGGGTAGTAGAGCCAAGTGAAAATGTCCTTTCCGTGGGACATTCAGATATTTCAGCATTTATTTTCATCACAAGTCAGGGTTAAAAGTTAAAATACTGTCATAGAACTGAAATTTTCTATAGGAAAATTTTGATTTTTCTGAAACTTCTCAAGTTTCCATTTAGAAAATCTAAACAAAAGAAATTATTTGGGGTCAATTCAGCCTTAGTGAGCCAAGTGAAAATGTCCTTTCCGTGGGACATTCAGATATTTCAGCATTTATTTTCATCACAAGTCAGGGTTAAAAGTTAAAATACTGTCATAGAACTGAAATTTTCTATAGGAAAATTTTGATTTTTCTGAAACTTCTCAAGTTTCCATTTAGAAAATCTAAACAAAAGAAATTATTTGGGGTCAATTCAGCCTTAGTCTCAATATTTTGGTGATCGTTGAATTGACCAGAAGCATTCTGAGTCAGTTCAAGTTTAACCTGCATTTCCCTATCATGGCACATCATCCCATGAGATGGCAGTTTTGGGTGTCCGATGTGCTCCATTCTCTCCTGATGGGTCAGGCTGTCTAGCCAGACTGCATCCACCATGAGGTAATGTGAATTCTGCTCCAACCAAAGTGTGTGGTACATCATGGGAATCACATAACGGTGGTGCATCCAGGAAACTGTAGTCTGGCAAGGAAGCTCAGAGTACAGGGGGAAAGGCTTTATCGGGAAATGTCACACCATAAGGAGATGTGGTTTAATGTTGAACTGACCCAACACGAAATGTTTTGGGTGTGCCAAAAATCAGAATGAACCATCTATATTTGGGAATATAATAACGTTTCCCACTGCTGCACATAAGTGTTTTGAGCAATTCTGTGACACCTTCGGACATGCCTACACTGGGGCATGCTTCCGAAATAACTCCCCTCATTTTGAAATAACAAGGTGAGTAGCCACACTACCAAACCTGTTATTTTGAAATAATAACTCCCGCTTGTGAAGAGAAATAACTTATTTTGAAATAAGCTTATTTCAAAATGGCAATTCCTGAAATAACTATTGCGAAATAACCTGGTAGTTTGACATAGCTTTAGAGACTAACAAATTTATTAGGACATGAGCTTTCACCCACAAAAGCTCATAGATTTTTAGCCCCTAAGGTGCCACAGGACTGCTTGTTGTTTTTAAAGTTACAGACTATCATGGCCACCCCTCTGAGAAGTTTTTTGGAACTTCTGGTTTTGCAGAAATCACATTTTCTACCAATCAGTGATTTTGATCAAAAAGCTTGTAGTATTTTTGTTCTTAGTAACGAACACGCAAGCAGCTCTGTTGTATGGTTGATATGGCTTGTTGCCTCTTGCAGTAGCTCAAGTGAGCTTTTTTCACTGCACACTCTACCTGACCCCTCTCCTAATTTTGTATATTTTTTTTTCAATTTGCCAGGCACACTTCAAAATCATGCTCGGAAATATAACTTGCCAATAGATGAGCTTAGTTTCAGTTATAATGTCATCCCCGCTTATCGAGATCAAGCACAAGTTACAGAAGCATTAAAAGTATGCCAATTTGGACAAGAACTGCCTATGGATTTGCAGGTATTTTGGATGCTTGTTATCAGTACTGAAATACAAACTCTTCATATCCTCTCTTTTGAGCAACTGACACTGACGCAGCATAAACTGAGATTAACACTACTATTCAATAACACATAAATCTTTGAAGGTCAGATTCGTGTGGTGTTCTCCTTAGAGCTGATGGGGACATGCTAAACATTTTTCACACAAATTATTTTTTCACACAAAAAAATCCCCAAAAATGTCACCCAAAATATGAAAAGTGGATAGTTTAATTAATCAGATACTCCCCCATGAATCTAGATCTTTTTGTGGTGATGATTGTGGTGACTTTGACCATTCAGTTCATTTTTGTTTGTTCATCAATGTGTGGGGCTGTGCTTTCTTGTCACTTGCTGCTGTTTACTTCAGTTGCCCTCTCCAGAAGATGGTGTGTTGGTACACGGGATGTTCATGGATGCCAGTCGCTGGGATGATGAAGAGATGGTGATAGAAGATGCATTGCCGAGGCAAATGAATCCAATGCTACCAGTGGTGCATTTTGAACCCCATCAAAATTATGAACCAGATCCATTGTTGTATCAGTCACCACTCTATAAAACTGGATTCAGAGCTGGGACACTCTCCACCACAGGTATGTGTCTGTCTGTTTTTAAATCGTAGTTCTTACCAAACTCAGATGCGTGCTCTATGAACAGCTGAGTGCACCAACATTAACGTTGTCGGAACATTTAAATGAAAGTCATGCCCGTCAGTCAGTCAAAAGGAATTTTGCCCAAGTTTGCAATAAGGGCTCACGTTTGGCCTGTGGCATCTTTCTCACAATTCCACTTTTCTCTGTGCAATATTTATTTGCTGTGTAATCATCTGTGGCAGCTGAGAAGGAAAAGAGACAAACGTCCTAGGGGAATGGCTGAGTGCAATTAAGACTTTCCTGGTTCCAAGGGAATGGTTAAGCAATAGGGAAGGATAAGCAGGCATGTGGACTGCTTATTGTTTTCTCTGTAATGCTTTTGTTCTAAATCAATAATACTTTGCTTTTGGGTAAAGCTGTTGCAATCTGGAGTTATTAATGCAAGAGTATAACTCTGTGAAAAAGAAAATCTGCTTAGATTTGGAGAACGTTATTAGCTCCACACGGCTTGGTTTCACCTTCAGATGCAAGATTCAGAAGCTGACGAGTCAGCTAAAAGAATTCAGTAGTAGCAGGAGATGCAGAGGTCAGGGGAAATAAGTGTGCATTGTGAAAACCACAACCACTGATGGGTCCTTTTCCCATCACATTCAGCTCTTTCATAGTTTCCCATTGGAAACATTGCCTGATTTTCTTCTTAGTGTTGGTATCGTCCATGTACAGTCTGATTTTATTTCTAGTGTCTTTGTTTACACAGGCTATGTCTAGACTACAGGGTTTTTTCAAAAAAAGTGGCCTTTTTTTAAAAAAACTTCACCTGCGTCTAGACTGCTGCTGCGTTCTTTCGAAATTAAATCAAAAGAACACAGCGGTTTTTTCGACCGCGGTAAACCTCATTTTATGAGGAAGAACACCTTTTTTGTATCTGAGGAGAGGTGTATTTTAGTGCAATAAGATGGGATGTTGTCGCAACCTTAGTTGTGAGTGTGCTGGCTTAAGGGGGTTGTATTCTCAGCCAAAATGGTGCGTTGACATGCCAATTTGCATTGCTTAGATACCTGGTAACAGTTTTTCTCTTTGCCTTTTTAACTAGGTCATTCTACCAATTTTGTGGTAACAGTCCTGCTACCCTCCAAAAGGCCAAGTGACTACTGGATATCGAAAGGGTCAGCCTTGCTCTGCCAACTGAATGAGTAAGCAGCAGCAGTTCCAATCCAGCAGGCGTGTGTGGAAATTGCACTCCCAGGGTATTGCGGCAGAATGGTTTTAGCGTTAGCACAATCCTAGGCTCATCATAGTATAATAATGCCAATTGCTAGCCTGTCATTTACTTTTTCATTTGTATTAGATTTGATAAAATAAAGGGTTGTCTGATGTTCATTTTCCATTTTTATTTTTAGGCTAGTTCTTATCCTCTTACCACTCTGAAGATTTATGCATTGCTGCTCCAGTTACAAATATTCTTCCACAGTATCTGTGTGTTTCATGTAAAAAAAACATGCTTTGCATTGGGATGCTAAGTTACCATGATGGCTGTGCTTTACTTTCAGCTTGTCTGTCTTGTTTTCTTTCTCAGGAGTATAAAGTCAAAAATCTTTAAGCAAAAATAGTAAGAGCCCTTGAATGACTGATTCTAAAGACTATTTACTGTCCTGCCTGCAGAAAGAAATAGGTGCTCTGTATATCCATCTCCATCACTGGGGCAGCTGGGTACCTCACAGAAATTAAGAGTCTATTACAGTTGTGAACTATAAGCCTTTCAATGTAGTCTCAGGAGGAAATTGCACTGGTCACTAACACAAAGCCTCATTTCACTTTATTTCTGCAAAGGCTTGGACAAGATTAACTGCTCGTGCACTGTGTGTCCTGCCACTCTGCAAGCACAAGATCCAAGGGAACAGTAGAAAAGGGTACTAAGAACTTCATGCTACTGACTTGAAACATTCAAGGTGTATACTCTAGGGCAGAAGTAATCCTCCTACCCAATCATCAGTATTAAAAGGCACTATGTACTGTAGTCGTACGCCAATCCAGGGGAGGAAAGGATCCTTGTGACTCAAAAACTATTGGTGAGATTGGACATACACCTCTAGCGAAAGGTGCATGAACAACTCCAAGGTGTTCTCTTAGGGCATGTCTACACTACAGAATTATTTTGAAATAACTCCAATTATTTCAAAATAACAAGGTACAGTAGAAAAAGGTACTAACAGCAAGCCTGTTATTTCAAAATTGTTTTGAAATACCAGGCTCGTTATTTTGAAATAAGCCCTGAGGAATAATGCCTATTTTGAAATAGGGTTAGTCTGGATGCTCAGCTGTTGTTATTTCAAAATAACACCTCCCTAGAGGGGGCATCTACAATGCACCCTTACCTCGAAATAAGATATGCAATTTGAGGTACACAAATTTCGTAGTTTATTTCGAGGCAATTTTAAAATAGCTTATTTCATAATCTGGATTAGGAAATAAACTGCTATTGCATAATGTCCCTTAGGAATGAGGTTTACAGGGATGTTGGAATAGTGAAAGATATTTCAAAATTTTCTGTCAAGACGCAGAAAAGCTATTTTGGGATACCAGAAGTATCCTGAAATAGCGCTGCTGTCTAGACATACCCTAGAGTCATTCAAAGTAATTACTCCCTAGTGGTTCTTGGGGCTCAAAGTCAAGGTAGCACGTCGATATTAAGGGCCCCTACCTCAGGCTTCCCTGTAGTGTGGATGCGCTATTTTGAAATAATTATTCGGGAGTTATTAGCTCAAAATAACTTATTCTGAAATAAACTTGTAGTGTAGACATAGCCTTAGATATTTCAGTGTTACTTCCCTTTACCTAGGAGTAACTTCAGCCTATTTAGTCCAGTCCTCTTGCCTGTCTCTTCCAGTGCCTGGAGATCAAACACCATAATCTATGGCATAACAAAGATAAAGTGTAGACCTAAGTGTCAGCCTCATGTGTATGGAGCTCAGGCAAAAACGTCTTGTTGCTCTAGCAGCGATACATAGACAGACAAGAAGAGAGGTGACAACTTTTGCCAGACCTCACATACAAAAATGGCTCTCTGCCATTTGGGACTTGTTGAAGAATAAGGAAGGAACCCTGTCAACCCCTGCAAGTTTTCCTAGGTAATTAACAAAGGTTCATGGGCCAACCAGCATGGACTCTTTACCCATGTGCATTCTCAAAAGCCAACCATCAGTAAATAGTCATGCCGTTCTTTACTAAAACCGCACCCAAAAGCAGCCTGCAAGAGGTTAAGGACACTGAAGCAGTCCCAATGACTTCTGGATATTTCAGATTTACTTTAACACTTCAGCTCTTCCCCACACCAACCTTCTGCCCTCAGCCCCTTAAAAAATGGTTCTGTACTGAAAAGGAATGAGTAAAGTTGTCAGGTCAAAAGATGGTTCCTTAGGCAAGCAGCCTCACCACTTCTTCAGTAATGAGCCCAAGATTTCCTTCTTGCTTGCCAGCAGCAAGGTCTGGCTTACCATTATGGGAAACAGCTCTTGTCAATTCCCCTAAGACCTATTTTGAGGAAAAACAGGATAGAAATCAGCCAGATAAGACAATCTATTATCCTTGATCAAACCCCCAAGAATGTGCTCAGTTCCTTGCAGACACTCAGCGAGTTTGTAACACCAGAAGATAGAAGTTTTACTGCTGTTGTGAAAGACCACGGTAAACACTTTGAGGAGAGAGGCCCCAGGTCAGCTTAGGTGGCCAGTTGTAATATGCTGACATTAAAATCACACCAGAAGAGGTGAGCAAATATTCTCATGAGGGGTTCATTTTACAGAGGACAAAAAACACCTATGAATAAAAGAGCCTTTTTACCAGCACCTTCCAACAGAGTGTCATAATAAAGATATTGTTTATTAATATTTAAGCATTACAGTAGTTAACGGCAGCAACATGGTTACAAGTAAAAACAAAAGTCTTCCGTGTTCAACTTTAGCTAAACAAAAATAAGTTGTCGCTAATTTAAAATAATTCCTTTAACAAGCCCACATTGGCCAAATTTGAGTGGACCACACCAACACAGCTCAGCAAAGAAAAGTGAACTGTATGATTGAATGTTGAAAGCCTGGCCCCATTGAAATCCCTGGCAAAAACTCACTTTGACTTTGATGGGGCCAAGAATCTTCCCTAAAAATTACAAATGAGCGGGTGTTGGATTGGCAGTTGTGATCCAAGTTGTATTCAAACAGATCACACGGACAGCGATCGCAACACTACAGTGTCATTGAGAATCTGTACAGTTGTCCGAATGCCAACTCAGTTTTCTGTTCTCGCTCATTAAACAACATTTCCTACATTTAAAAAAAAATATTTCTGTAAATTTTTAGCAAAAATACATTCTGTCGACATCTCGATTGGAAAAACCTTTCAAATAATCATAGTCACGGCTCGACAAACTATAGAATCTACTAACCTGTGGCGAGTAGATTTCAGCAGTGCGCCCCGTTTACCAGCGGCGTGTGCATGCGCAATGCGGCTCTTGTGCATGCGCAGTGCGGGGCTGGCAAGCGGCTTTCACTGCCGTTTGTCAAGCCCTGATCATAGTAATAGTACAAGCTAACACCAGTGGTTTGTTTAGCTAACTGCAGAACAAATAGTGCAGGGTGACACATGGCCAAACATGAGAAATCCATATGATGGCCATACTAATTGAAGATACTGAAATGTAAATGATTGAAAATTAATAATATACTAAAGAAGATGTTAGTTGGAATGACTTATCAATATAGCTTTTACAGATTAAACAAAAGCTAAATGTTCACTAGTGCTTTGTTAGTAGTACACAGACACTAGGGCTTATTTGTCACAAAGATTTGAATTCATGCCTACCACTTGTCACAGATTATAACATCATTACAGGCAGACACAATCTAAGAAATAACGAAGTCCAGTATTTATATTATTCAGTCATTACAGTCACGAACATTGGAGACAATCGTCTCTCAAAACTAATTTCAGCTCCTTCGTTCCATGTAAGTTTTAAATCACATTATTTAGCAAAATTAATGGCAACATTTTTTAATTTTGAAGTTACATTTTTTGTACCGTGTGCTGCTCTTGGAGAGCCTTATGCAAAATCCTTTGAAACAGCTTCTATAAAATTTGGAGCAGACATCAGTATAGTAAACGTACAGATGATGGCAAAGAGTGAAAATGCAACCAGGCATAATCTGTCTATGACAGCAGCTGCAAACTTCCACTCACTACAAATTTCCTCACCCTCATCCTGTTTTCTGAAGCGCATGGCAATGAATTGAACTTCTTCCAGGATTTTGACAATCACAGGGATCGTCTCCATTAAAGCTTTGTTTTGAACAAGCTCTGTATCTTCTGGAGAGGAGCAAGCGACCTTTCCGCACTTCCCCCCTGAGTCACTGTTTTGTGGGCAGCATGGGTTTTCCACGGCATGATAGCTATAGATCACGTTCCCGTTGCTGGATTGGTACCCAGGTAACACATTCATCTCAACGCTACTGATGCTTGACCGGTGCTTGGGATAGCTGTATTTGCAAGAGAGGGGCCTTATGTTCTCCCCGGGCTTTTTCATCCTTAAAAATCAAGCACAGC